AGACGGAGTCTCACTCTGTCACCCAGGCTGGAGTGCAGTGGTGCAATCTTGGCTCACTACAACCTCCACCTTTTGGGTTCAAGTGATTATCCTGTCTCAGCCTCCAGAGTAGCTGGGATTACAGGCACCTGCTACCATGCCCACCTAATTTTTTGTATTTTTAGTAGAGACGGGGTTTTGCCATGTTGGCCATGCTGGTCTCGAACTCCTGACCTAAGGTGATCTACCCGCCTCGGCCTCCTAAAGTGCTGGGGTTACTGCTCTGTCACCTAGGCTAGAGTGCAGTGGGGTGATCTTGGGTCACTGTAACCTCTGACTCCCAGGTTCAAGCAATTCTCCCACTTCAGCTTCCTGAGTAGCTGGGATTATAGGCATGCACCACCATGCCCAGCTAATTTTTGTATATATATTTTTTCTCCTGAGATGGAGTCTCATTCTGTGCTCCAGGCTGGAATGCAGTGGCGAGATCTCAGCTCACTGCAACCTCCGCCTCCTGGGTTCGAACGATTCTCCTGCTCAGCCTCCTGAGTAGCTAGGATTACATGCATGTACCACCATGCCTGGCTAATTTTTGTATTTTTAGAAGAGGCAGGATTTCACCATGTTGGCCAGGCCGGTCTTGAACTCCTGACCTCAGGTGATCCACCAGCTTCCCTTCCAAAATGCTGGGATTACAGGCATGATCCACCGTGCCTGGCCTTTTACAGAGCCTTTACCTATGAAATTACGTAGCTTGTTTGCAAGGCTGTTATAGTTAGATTTGAATGCGGGTTTTGCCTGCAAAGCCAAAATGCTTGAGCACTAGGAAGCTGGCTACATTCCCCTTCCATCAGGACTGAGGCTTGCTGCATGTCAGGTACAGAGTCTTCAACAGGATAATCTGCAATTTATCTGTGTCTCCACCTGGCCACACCACAGGCCTATCTTCTCCCACCTGCTGAAATCCTTCCTGTCTCTTTTTTGTGCTTCGATCTATGGTGTCACCTGATATAAGACCAAGGGCTCACTTTGGCCATCTTTTTAAAAAATATTATTCATAGTCTTATAAAATGATACCTATATCTCTTTTTAGGTTAGGTCCTACTGCAACACCCATAATGCTACTGAGAGGACATGGGCGCTGCTCCCTACCAGGCAAGCTGTTATCACCTCCCTATGGACAAAGGTCATTAACTGGCCTCCCTTAGGACTTTGGGCAAAGGAGAGTCACTGGAGGTTTTTCAGCAGAAAAATGACATGAGCCTCAGCAATAAATAATGTTATTATTTCCTTTGCTTCAGTTGGTTCATCTACCAACCGTTTAGGGCAGTGGCCCCTAACCTTTCTGGCACCAGGGACCAGTTTCATGGAAGATAGTTTTTCCACAGACAGGGGTGGGGGGCATTAGATTCTCACAGGAGCTTGCAACCTAGATCCCTCCCATGCAGAGTTCACAATAGGGTTTGCACTCCTATGAGAATCTAATTCCGCCGCTGATCTGAGAGGCATAGCTTGGGCAGTAATGCTTGCTTGCCCGCCACTCACCTCCTGCTGTGCTCCTTGGCTCCTAACAGGCCAGGGACCCATACTGGTCTGCAGCCCAGGTAGTTGGGGACCTCTGCCTTGGGGTATTTTCTGCAGAGGGCAGCTTCTTTGTGTGTGTGTGTGTGTGTGTGTGTGTGTGTGTGTGTGTGTGTGTGTCATGGTTTCACTCTTGTTGCCCAGGATGCGCAATCTTGGCTCACCACAATCTCCACTTCCCGGGTTCAAGTGATTCTCCTGCCTCAGCCCTCCAAGTAGCTGGGATTACAGGCATACGACACCATGCCCAGCTAATTTTGTATTTTTTAATAAAGATGGGGTTTCTCCATGTTGGTCAGGCTGGTCTCAAACTCCTGACCTCTGGTGATCCACCCACTTCAGCCTTCCAAAGTGCTGGGATTACTGGCATTAGCCGCCATGCCCAGCCCAGATGGCAGCTTTGTACTTTCCAAAGCCCTATCCCGTCAGTCACTCCATGTGGTTCTCATGGCGCTCCTGTAGTAAGCAGGACAGACAGCTTAGCAGGTGGGGGACAGGATTGGGAGAAAGAGATAAAGTGGGACCAGGACAAAGTCTAGTTTTGGTTTTTGGAAATGGAGCTGGATATAGTGTGTAAAACATAAACAGCTGAGTTCTAGCAGCTGAAGGAGAAATAGATACAGGGAACAGAGAAAATGCCTTGGAGTGACAACAGCTACATACATCATCCTGGCTGAGAGGTCCACATAAATGTATCAAGGCATCATTTTGGAGAGGGAATACACCACACCAATAATATGTGGAACTTAAGCATATGAGAAACAGGATAGGAGGATAGTTGGCTAAGCCTACTAAATCTCTGTAGTTCTGAGGTTCTGACAGGCTGAAAGATAAACCTCAAAGAGGGGTAAACTCATGGCTGCCTTCCATTTATCTTCAGAGAACTAGGATCTGCTCTTCCGAGGAACGATGTTCGTACAAACAGGTGTTGCTCCATGCCTTTCTTTCCGTGGCTTCACTCAGTGATTGTGGGTGAGGCCAATCATCTAGGGAGGGACTTTGGACTGTAAATATCTGCTCTGTGATGTGACACATCTGATAAAGCATCATTGCTTTTATGATCAAGTCCAAACTCCTCTTGGTCAGGCATTCAAGTTTTCCCCAATCTATCTCCAATTTTGATTCACTTCATTTATTTGAGAGAGCTAATGAGATAACACAGGTCAGAAAGCATTTAAGAACTGTAAAAACAAAAATGCCTAAGCATCAGAATCATGGCTGTTACTGCTACATTAGCCTAATTTAAGTCTCCCTTGAAAGAAAGAAAGAAAGAAAGAAAGAAAGAAAGAAAGAAAGAAAGAAAGAAAGAAAGAAAGAGAGAGAGAAAGGAAGGAAGGAAGGAAGGAAGGAAAGAAAGAAAGAGAGAGAAAGAAAGAACTCCCTAGTTCTTTTTTTTTTTTTTGAGACGAAGTCTTGCTCTGTCGCCCAGGATGCAGTGCAGTGGTGCAATCTCGGCTCACTGCAACCTCCACCTCCCGTGTTCAAGTGATTATCCTGCCTCAGTCTCCCGAGTAGCTGGGACTACAGGCGCCTGCCAATATGCCTGGCTAATTTTTGTATTTTTAGTAAAGACGGGGATTTCGAGACCATTTTTAGTAAAGTCTCGAACTCTTGCCTCCGCTACCTCCTAATCATCCATCATTGCCCTCTGCTGGTCAAATTCTTCAGAAGCCAATCGACATGGGAGCCTGATCTCTGCATTGTTTCACTGTTCCCTGTTTGGCCTCTCAGCTCTTCCCACACAGCGGGTAAACAAGTCTTGGTATTAAATTCCTTTTGAAATAACTGGTGGTCTCCATTTTCTTGTAGACCTTGACTGATGAATGGCTCATGTAACATCTGTCCATCAGGGGACTTATGAAAAGTTGGAGAGTCAAGAATTAAATACATGTAGCCTGTAATCCCAGCACTTTGGGAGGCTGAGGTAGGCAGATCATCTGAGGTCAGGAGTTCCACACCAGCCTGGACAACATGGTGAAACCCCATCTCTACGAAAAATAAAAAAACTAGTCTGGGCACAGTGGCTCACACCTGTAATCCTAGCACTTTGGGAGGCTGAGGCGGGTGGATGATCTGAGGTCAGGAGTTCGAGACCAGCTTGACTGACATGGAGAAACTCCATCTCTACTAAAAACAAAACAAAACAAAACATAATTAGCCAGGCAAGGAGGTGCATGCCTGTAATCCCAGCTACTTGGGAGGCTGAGGCAGGAGAATTGCTTGAATGAAGAGACTGGCAAGATCAGAAGGGCACCCCTGCTTCTAGGATGGGACACCAGAGCTGTGGAAGGGGAGCAGTGGTGGGAACTAGATGTCAGGAAAACTAGCTAGATGTCAGGAAAAACACCAACCTGCTCATGGACATGCCACTTAAAGTGGAGCAGGGGAAAAATATCTGGTTCTTCCCTCCGCTACCTCCTAGTCATCCATCATTGCCCTCTACTGGTCAAATTCTCCAGAAGCCAATCGACATGGAAGCCTGGAAACTAGTTTCCATTGGAACAGAGTAAAGGCATAAGATGGAGGCAATGTCTTACTCACAGCAGATGTTCAATGGGTATTTACTTTTTTCTTTTTTTATTATCTCTCTTTTCTTATTATTTTAGAGATGGGGTTTTGCCATGTTGGCCAGGCTGGTCTCAAACTCCTGATTTTAGGTGATTCACCCACCCTGGCCTCCCCAAGTACCGGGATTACAGGCATGAGCCACCAGGCCCAGCCTGGATATTTACTTTCAATTGCTGCTCAATCTTGGCCCTAAACCTTCAAAAGACAGTAGCAGTCTGGCCACCTGCCTCTCATTGTCTAAGAGTTTTTCAGCTTTATGGAAAAGCA